ATTTCAAGGATAAAAGTTTAAAAGGACATTTTAATTACTTGCCAGTCCCTCTGCTCCAAAAACTTAAAACCGTTTAAATTCTATAGGAGTTTGTCTTTAATTTGATACCCATACTTCTCCTCTAAACGCATTTCTCTAAATTTTTTAAATCATTTTTCAATTACTGACGTCAGAGTTAAAATTAAAAACGCAATTTTACTATATTTGGCCCACGGTTTCGCGAATATATTGATATTTGTGTTTAAAATTTACTTTCGCGCGGTGTTATATGTATAATGATCTAGACATTTATAAAAATATATTAATTATTAAATAAAAAAAGAAATATAGCCAATACTGGTCAAGGAAAGGAGTTTCTATTATTGCCATCAGTGCAAATTACAAATCCCAAAAATCTCGGCATTGTTTGCCAAGAATCCCGTAATTTTCGGGACCTTACTAGTATGTACATACATATGTATGCTTGTACGCGCATCACTCGAAAACTAACACATGGAATCGAATGCAGTTTTCACCATTGTACTCCTTGAGGTCTAACTTAAAAAATAATCTGGGAGTTGCTACCTGGTTTAAAATTGCAGTTCAGGTAAATTGATACGATAAAATAAATATTGCAATATGGCCAGGGGCGGCGGATGACGTGGGTATGGTGGGTAGTACTACCCACCTGCAATTTTAAAAGGTGGGTAATTACCCACCTGTAAATTTTTTAGAAGAAAAATAAGACCAATTGAAAATCCTGTATTTACCACAACTGAAGAGTATTTCCCGAGGATGTATTATGAAATTTTTTACCAAGTTATTTGCTCCCTGACCAGTTGATTTGATACTAAATCGGCAACGTGTTATAAAACTTAAGAAAAGTTATTTCTTGGTGAGACAGTAGATTTGAAGAAAGTGTCGCGTTTTATAATTTTGATTTTGACGAATGCAGACTCAATAGTGATAAAAATATGGCGCACAGACGAAAATCCAGAATTTGTGAAAGATGTTGTGCAATTTTTGTGTGAAGACAAATTGTGTGTGGGACTTGTTTCTGAATACTATGTACGCTTCATTAGGTAACTTGTTACAATTCCAGGGTCATCATGCTCTAACGAGAGGCGCTTTCTGTTTTGTTTTGTGTTTTTTAAAATATGTTAAACAGTGAGCACTATATGAAAGGTGTTCAGCCCTTCTTCTTCGGCAACACAGAAAGGAGAATTGTACTTAGTGCGGGTTATAATCCCTAAGCGCGGCCGATAGCCGCCTACGCAGAAAAGTGTTCTCTGCAAAAGGTGTTCAGCCCCTCTTCTTCGCGCGATTTTTTTTACAAGTTTTCGCCAGGGGCGCTATGTTGTTTTGTAATAAAAACCAATATAATATAAAACCTAAAAAGTTAAGTAAAAAATTCTGAGATATTACTTTTGACATTATTTAATCATCTGGCAGCACCAACCTCGTTGTTAAATTGCAACCCTTGCGGGGTGGAGTCTTCTTCACCTTTAGAATCAAAAATACCTCTTCTAAATCTCGCCCACTTCCCCCAAAATTTTTTTTGTTTGTTTTTCCTGTCGATTTTCACTGAAATTTTCTCTGTACAAAAAAATTGCAATATTGATGTGGATAACTAAAGAGGTTTAGGAAAGTTTACTGGCGAAAATATTTTTGAGGGGGCGGCCACCTTGTTGAAAAATTTTATTCATTTAAATTGGTAAAGTAAATTAAATATTACAATACTGTTGTTAAACTAAAGACGTTGAAGAAAGTTTGCTGTCGAACATATTTTTGAAGCGGTTTGCCATATATTTGAAAAATTCAATTCAGTTAAATATTAAATTGTTACACATCTGAAGAAAGTGCGCGTTATGTAGACTCAACCTACATATAAGATTATAAATTAGATTTCCACGAAAAAGTCGATACTTTATCTACCTTCTAAATACCTTCGAAAATAAATTAACTAACACCCACATTTATAAGAATAATAAAGAATTAAATTAAAATCTATTTTATTTTTTACGAATGACCCCATAAGAGTTTTGGAGAGAGCAACAACACAAACATACTTTTAAGGCGCAGTGAAGCACGCCGCAGTACACGTTTTGCTCGTTAAAAGTTCAATTACAACCAAGGAAAGTTTCCATTTAAAAATATAATTTTTGATATTGTCGCTGCTCTTTTGGCGAACTCAAATCGCAGATAACAGCGATTTTAACACTTCAAAAATAAAGACGAAAACTAGCAAAAATAAAGACGAAAACCAGAAATGAAAAAAATGTTGTGGGTCAACTCAAAACTCCATAATACGTACACAAACCGAATTTCAAATCTATAGCAACAAAACCAACGAAGTTAATGTACGTCGGCCAGATCGGTTATATGGTGGCTATATGTTATAGTGCCTTGAACCGCATAAAATTTGGTAAGTCAGCTCAGAAGTCCATAGTACATATGTACATATCTATTATGCCAAAATAAAATAGCTTTTTGCCCATAGTGCAGCGTACGCTTCCGGACCGATTTTCGGTTCTTTTAAAATGGTGTTTTCGTTCTTCGGGCTTATTCTTTTGGATTTTCTGAGAGCTTTTTTCGGTTTTCCCTAACTGTTTTTCGGGTATTTTGGAGTCGAGTTTCGGCACTTCTGGAACCGTGTTTTCGGGTCTTTTGGAATAGAGTTTCAGTCCCGTTTTTGGTTCCTGTGTGAACCGGACCGGTCAGTACAGTTACCCCTGTATGTGAACCTTACAAATAAATTTGTTCTTAAATTTTTTGGCTTTTTAGACTTTTTTGTCCAAGCACGCGTTCTCCTTGGTTTAAATTCCGCAAAGCTCATTTTCCCACACTGAAGGATGACGAATTATTTTTTTAAAAAACGTCTAATAAGAATGGCTATAAGATGTCGGTGAAGTTGCCATACGGTATGAAACAAAGAGACAAAAAGCTGCTCTGAGTAGCTATTTAATAGATATAGAGTTCTTGAAACGGAAAAAAAAATAAAAATTTGAATTTTGTTGGCCACATTCACGACTTGTGGCAAAAAGGCAAATAAAAAACTAAAAAATAACAAGTGATTTTTAAGCAAAAAATAAAACCGGCTTCAACTCTCATATATGTATATACATATGTATATATATTTCATGATCCAACGATCGGATCTACACCAGATTAGTATTGGACCACCTCGGAGACACTACCTTTCCGATGCATAAAGAATTATCGAAATCGGTTTACGTGGTCCAAAGTTATGCGGTAACATACATACATAAAAAAAATATTCCGACGAACTTACGACGATTTAATTAATTTTTTTTTAATTAAACTTTTCCGACCTTTTCGGAAAAATGCTTTTTTCTGCGTAATTTTGCAGAACTTTTTTTCTTTTTCAGGAACTCCAGAACTATTGAAATGCTACTGAGAATAGTTTTAATTTTAGTTTTTCTTCAAAAATTAAAATATTTCGACTTTAAAGAAAAAAAATTTTTCGACGTAATTTTGCAGAACTATGGAAAAGCTGCTCAGAACAATTTTAATAAATTTTTTTTTTTCAAAAATGAAATTTTTTCTACTTAAAAAAAAAAATTGGCGTAATTTTACAGAATTTTTATTTGTTCTTATCAGGAGCTCTACAACTATTGGAAATATTAAACTTTTTCCACTTAAAAAAAAATGTTTTTCGACGTAATTTTGCAGAATTGTTTTCCTTTTCAGGAACTCTAGAAGCTACTAAGAGCAGAGGTTGTACGCTTTTCAGACATGGCCATAAGCCAGAAATATTTTTACTAGGGTTGTCATTTAAGAAAAAGTATATTTAGGGAACGTTTTATAAACCAGTTACAACAATGAGTGCTCCTGCTCTTAACCGCTTGGAGTTTACGACATATGCACATACCTATGTATGTATATTTATTCTTTAAGATCAATATCGACTATGTAGTGATTTACAAATCAGTTACGGCTATACGAAGCTGGATTCATAAACACACCTAATAACTCATTCATGGGCTTTCTGTGATTGCTATCTCAACAAATTGCTTGCCTTCTTACATTTCGCGGTTCACGAGTCGCTTTGGGCACACCATAGCAATATTAATTTAATTCACTTGTTTGCGTTCGATTATTAAAAAAATATCTATTGCGGTGACTTTGGAAAGGCCTATGCTGGTAGAGGTGAGCGAAAAGTGTGCCCACAAAGAGACAAATGCCAGAGCCAGTATCTAATAATTTATGAGCCGAGCGGCAATTTGTTGCAAATGTACTTAGTTTAAAAGCATTTCTAATTGCATTTTATATCCAACTTTTTTAACAACTGGCAGTGTTTAATTATATTTTGCGAATTCACATCACATTTTGCGGCACATCTGCGGTCAATTGGCAACTCAATGCTGCAGATCGCGGCAAAGCACATAAATACATACATACATACATGCGTAGCTGCAACTGCAATGCTTTGTAGACAAACAATAAACAAAGGAAAATAAGAAAAACAAAACTTCAAATTGAATGTAGTAGCAATGAGAGTTGCAATTGCAACGGCATTTAATCAATTAATGCAACAATCATAAAATAGTGATTGTCAGTCGGCCAGCCGTCAGTCCAGTCATCGGTTTGCACTGTGACATTCTGTCACAGTCACTCAATTTAGTGCCAGCGCCACCGGATTATTGCGCATGTTAATGACGAACACGTGCACACGCATTCCACCGTCCGCAGCGCAATGATTTGACCTGCTTTTTCGAAACCGCTCACGCAATTCGTGCACGCGTTCTCGCATCGTTCTGTTGTCTCGTTGATGGAATTTAAAAAGAAATTTCGAACATATCTGTAATGATGCTGCAATTTGATAATCGGCGACGAAGGTAAAGGAGGCGCGCGCACGCAACTGCCGGTCACCGTTCGTCTGAATCATCTTTCAATTACATATAAATGTCGCGATCAGCTGGGCAGCAGCAAAGCGAGTTTGTGGCTTCGTTCGTCAGTGAAGGCAAAATTGCTGCGCTCGGTGAACGATCTGTTGCACGAAATGCAATTATTGTTGTAATTCTGATATCTTCAATTCTAATCCCGCCATCTCTGCGTATCATTGCAGTATTTAGCGTTGTCACTGCATCATCGCCATCTCTCCACTAACCTAGTTTCGCTGCTCATAGTACGACTTTGTTGCGTCTCTCAATTGACCGAGTTCAACTTGCGTTGCCCTTTACAGTTTACGATTGCAATCCGCAGTGGCGGCCACATTTCGAGCAACAGTCGGTAAGAGCGTATTCTGTGCTTGACAGCTCAAATTCAATTTAACCATTGTATGTCAATCGTAATTGTAACCTCGTTGGCTGAGGCAGGCCGCAGCCGTGTGAGTGCATACAGTTGCGTACTTCAGCTGCGCGTTTGACAATCTTAAAAATTGCAAGCAACGAAATTAAGTTGCAATGCGAAAACGTGCAAGAAGCCAATTGTTGCTGTTGTGTACGCTGAATGAGGTTAGAAAGCCTGTGGTGTAATGCAAAAGCATGATGTTTGAGTAGACCGAGTGAATCCGAACAGCAGCTGCAGGTTATGAAGGTGAAAGCAAACACTTGAAGGTCGACGCTTCAATAACACACTTCTTATGGAACCCACCAGTGAACTCTATTTGACTTGAGTTATATAATGGTTGCCTTAAACTACCCAACAAATCACGTGAATAACGAAAAATTTCAAAATACCATTTAATCGCAGAAGCAAAGACAAAAATGTTCAATAGGCAGGCGTCTGCGTAAGTCATGGGTTCTAAGTGAGCTTCAGCCTGGAGAAGAAAATCCAGAATTTTGTGTACATTCCTGAAGGTTCACTATCTATACAGCCAGCTCCAAATTAGACGGTTGGGTAGGATGTATTTTTTTGCCAGACACTCATCTGAACATACCTTCTAGGTTAACATTTCACTGCAGCGACTTTTCGCCTGAGGTCTCAATTATTGTACAATCAGTGAAGATCATACGTAGAAGCTCATGAACTCCAGAACACATGCACATGAATAAACATGAGAAAACAATTTAAGTCAAAGCTTATTATCTTGTCTCAGACATATCTGTTAAGGGAGATATAGCCGAAATCGGATTAGTAACCAACTCGAGGTATACTTTCTCAGAAAAGGGTGGGAAAATTAATCGCTCGGTACTTACACCTTATTGCATGTCTTGCAGCAAATGTAAAATTTGGGAACTGTGGTATTAGCATTCGGTTGTGCAACTATCGAGTTTTACTATAATTTACTCATGGTTTCGCGAATATATTCATTTCTTTTGTGAGTAAAATTTACTGTCCTACTGTGTTATTGATACAATTTTTACAGTTCTAATCCTGGTAGAGATAATAGCTAAGCAAATCGATACACCAGAACATTTTGTTCATTTATGGGTCTCATTTGAAAGTACGAAGACATGTCTAAATTTAGGATCCCCATAAAACTAATACGACTTTGTAAAGGGACGTTGAGCGCAATTTTCAAGGAGATTATAAACAAGGCAAATCAATCACAGGCTAACCTAATATTCACGCACGCCTCCAATTTACTGTCAAACATTTCTCATGCACATACAACCTGTATGGGACCAACCGAAATTGAACGACGTGCGTATGAAGCTAACTCAATTTCTAATTTTTGTTCTGCATGACATTTTGATTTGACGGTTCGCTCAATGGAATCAAATGCAAACGCACGCAAGCCAATTTCGGGTGACGAAAAACAAACAAATTCAACGGCGTGCGTACCAAAACGCGAGCCGCGAATATTATGTTAGCAGCTGTTACAGGGTAAAGTTCAAAAGAAATAAATTACCAAGCCTAAAATACAGTGATGTGAACTAAAATCTCGTTTGATATCGAACGTGCCCTACTCTGATGGAGCTCCATCAATCATCGATATCAAAGTGTATTGTATTTAAAATAAAAAATTTATAAATAATTTATTCTTTATGGTATTTGAGTATTTAGTTTTCCATATATGAAATTAATTTTACAATTTATAATTTATATTTAATTTGAAACACTTTACTTTACTCTAACCACCTCCAACCGGATTTGAACCTGCGATCTCAGAACCAGAAGCAGTAGTCTTCACGCGACGCCACAGCCGACATTTGACAGGAAAGCCATTAACTTTGTCTTAACAGCACTGACAAAATCCAAAATTGTTATAGCAAATTATTACTTATATCGAGTAAATTTACTTCTTCAAAATAATAACGCCCTATTTTTAAATTAGGGAAAAATTTCTGAAATTGAGTAAATTTTTCGTAATATTAAGGAAAAAACAGTAGCTCGAAAATAAGGATACTATTTTCTTGATTTAAGGAAATGCTTTTTTCTGAGTGTGACATCCGAAGAAGCGGTTCTTGGAGTGTTCGTGTTCGGAAACCAAAAAATCATGCCCTGTAATAAGCAAAACCCCTTAAAGATTTAGAGCTTTCATGTTTGAGCAAAAGTTTCTTTCTGTGAAGAGTTAAATATTTCGAACCAGCACTGCACATGCACAGCATTCTGAAACAAAGTACGAAATTCTCATCCCAAGGATATTTTCCGTGGTCACAAATTCTGCTATTATGATTATTGATATTTTCGGAAATATTAAGACAGAATAGGTTTTAAGTTGTAAGAACGAAAGAGAAAAACTTAATCCCTGTTATTATAGAACACAATTTTTCACTGGGTATACGCATGGTTGCCGTTTTGGCCGAAAGATACCATTTTTGGTAAATTTTTTCAGTTTGGTACACTGGTACATAACTTTCAGACCTGGTACATTTTTGAAATCTGGTAAAATTAGATGGCTATTACTTATATCATATACCTATTTAAAGGTCTAGCCCTTGTGTGAAGGCCAACAAATCTACAATACATTGTCTAACTCAGGTAATTGAAAGACATTGTCGCATGAGCAGATAGCCCTTTATGAATACCTTGATATTCAAGCAAAATTCAAGGTCATGAAATAAATTGACTGATGAGACACGGCGATTCATAGCTCTTAGCAACAAGGTTGTCAGAGGCTTCATGGTAAAGCATGGGGGATATCCGCCAAACTGACGTTTTGGCCAAAACCGATTAATACCTTGTCCTGGTGGCCAAAAGTCAGGTACCGATTTATCTTTGTAGCCATTATAGGAGCCATGCTCACCTGCCCAACCAAAGCACTGAGAATCATCACATACTATACTAATTGACAATGAGACTTGCTGGACCGGTTTGTCTGTCAGCAACTAAATGAAACTATTATTCCAAAAATCCTACAAGGTTTTAATCTGTGAAGGGGACACTTGCAGTGGTATATTAATGGATGCATGCTTGAGGATGGAAATGCCGATCCCAGTGTCAGACATCACTATACGCCCTGAACATTTCCAAAACTACATCTAGTCTTCTGGACAACAGCAAAGCTCTACTGAACCCGTGAAGCACGCATATTTGGTCGTTATTAGAAAGAATTTAAGTCAATGAAAGTATGTTCCTTTATATTAAAAATTTCACAGCACACTTGAAAAATTGGTGTTGGTATTTGTAAAAAATGTTAATAAATAAGTCATAGCTAAGATCTATATTGATAAATTTTTTACGTTTTCGTATATAAAAAAGAAGAAAGTGGTAACCGCCAGTAAAAGTTAAATTTTTATACCTTTCATGACCATGAAATGGTATTATAACTTTGGGTCGATGCTTGTAAGTACCAGAATATGAAGAGATCGACTCATGGAAATGTATACTTATACGATCAGAACTTTGAGCTGAGCCGATTTAGCCATGTCCGTCTGTCTGTCTGTTGTATTCTATCTACTCGCTCAGTTTTTTAGATATCCGACTGAAATTTGGTAAGTGAGTGAATTTTTATTAAGTATTAATCATTTGTCGGAACCGGAAAAATCGGACCACTATAACATATAGCTCCCTTACAACTAATTGAAAGGTATGAGATTTTGCATTATAACTTCTCTATATTTATACAGCTAGGAACATAAAACTTCGCACTATTTTCACTCACTATCAACAGAAATCTTACAGTGAAAACTACAAAGACCGGGTATCCATTACCTATAGCCTCCATACAACAGATTGTTCAGACATGGGGTTTTCCTTCAAGACAGCTTAAACCAAGATATTTCGAGATTTATATTCTAAATAATCATACGAAGTATTCTGAAAAATCTTAAAGATCGCGGAGCTGTATAAGCTAAATATCCTATACCACTGATTGCTCAGATGCAAGTTTTTGCGATATAGTTCCTATCTTGCAAGCAGGATTATGACTTTTTTCTTTATTTTCCGAGTGGTTTTTCTTTATTTTCCGGTGCTTGCCACCATGAGCCGCAGGTTACTAGATATTTGTCTTATAATAGCCTACATAGTGCATCCACAGGACAAGGTTTTGCATTAGTCCCGTGTCTGGAGACTACCTTGCCTGCATAATATACTTTGTAGCTCTATGGGCGCTTTTCAAGACATTTGCCTTCAATCCTTGTTTTGTGTCTAATACAGCGAACAGACAGTTTGCCTCTGAGGGTAATAGCTCTGTTGAGAGAAGGGATACTGAATTCTCTTTTTTTTCGTCTAAACAGCGCCAGTTCAGTTTTGCTCGGATTGGTACTAAGACCACGTTGTCTGAACAAAGCTTTAGTTAATCGCTAATAGTTGATTGATAGAGCTAGGAGTTTGGGAAGATATAGTATGTACTTTTTGTTGGCTCCATATGAAACTAATTATTTTCCACTGTCTATATTCACTAGCCACATATGTATTTATCACACAAAACATCAAGTAGAGGGTGGCCAGGGAAATATGTACATACCTACATACATACATACATTCCTTGCACGGTTACCTACATAACTTTTGCTAGGAAGTGAAGAGAATGTGATTCCCCACATGCAACAACACCACCGTTTTCACACCAAGTGTATCTGTATGGAGGCTAGTGTAAAGTTTAATGTACAAAATATTGAATTTTTGCAGACGGATTAACCTTGACTTTCACTTTCGCAACGCCAACTGTAGCAATGGCGCCGAAGTCAGTCAGAACATGGCAGCGCAACGAGCCCGTCCGCAAAATGCCGCGCTAGTTTGTTTGTTGTGCGTTGCGCCACTGCTGGGGCAATTCGACCTTAGCTTAGTTGTGGCACTGTTTTTGTTGTCGGTGCCTTCGTCATCGTTGTTGTTGCAGCTATGTCAAAGGATAACGTCGTTGCTGACGCTTCAACTCGCTTGCATACAAACACGATTGTGCTTTTTAATACATATCGTTGCCTTAATATAGAAAGGCCCTATCTCACATCGTCGCTGAAATGCACAAAGCCGTAACTAACTAAAATCTTGTATTGCATAAAACGATGTGAGGCCACATAATTCGATCAAATGCATCATAATCAATTAAAACGAAAATTTTCGATTTTTAGTTAGTTACGACTTTTTGTAAATCAGCGACGATGTCAGATAGGGCCTTTCTATATTAAGGCAACGATATGTATATACTGCACTGCAGATATTGTATGCTCGCTCCATATGTACATACATACATCCTCGTACATATATTAGTATGAAGACAGCAATTCGCAGCACATTTGTATGTACGTTGCGTTTTGGCAACTACAATCGGGCAGCAAAAGTAACCCCAGCGGTGGTAGGAATTGAAGCGGACATTCTCTTTTAACCAAGCAACCAGCCAACTTTTGTATATACATTGTACATACATACCTAGTACCACAAGCTTTTTGATATGCGTCGCGTTGTTCGTCCTTGGCGTGCAACTTCCTCTGTCGCAGCTGGGGGTTACTGCTGTTGCTATTTTAGCATTTGTTGGTAGAGAACATACAAGCATGTTGCTGGTGCTGCTGTTGCCGCTTCTGTTTGAGTGTTGCCACTTTGCTGCGTTCACTAGGAATTTTTGAATAATTCATAACGGCGAACAGGACATTCAAAACACGCAACGCAATCTGAATACNCATATATACATACATACATACCTAGTACTACAAGCTTTTTGATATGCGTCGCGTTGTTCGTCCTTGGCGTGCAACTTCCTCTGTCGCAGCTGGGGGTTACTGCTGTTGCTATTTTAGCATTTGTTGGTAGAGAACATACAAGCATGTTGCTGGTGCTGCTGTTGCCGCTTCTGTTTGAGTGTTGCCACTTTGCTGCGTTCACTAGGAATTTTTGAATAATTCATAACGGCGAACAGGACATTCAAAACACGCAACGCAATCTGAATACCAACTAAGCTGAAGGAGGTGTGTACTTTCACGCACATACTCAGCAATGTTTGTGCAACTTTAGACTGCGCTGACTAGCAATGTATATGTACATAGAACACACATATCCAAATGTATATATTCATATGTATGTATATCCATACACGCATTTATTGCTGGTCGCGTGTTTCAGTTGCTTATGTACATACATACATATGCACATACATACGTAAATATATATAAGAGTACATATGTGTAGGATGTATGTATAAGTACCAAAGTACATACATATATGAGAGAACATTAGAAATTCTTCTGAAAATCGCAAAAGTCTGCTATAAAATGTCCCCCGTATGCAAGAATGATAGAATACAAGATTGCGCCTATCAGAGAGGATTTTTGATAATAACTTTTGTGTCACATCACACTGGTGCAATTGCGAGAGAGAAATGCCAAAACGTGAGCAAGAATGGAAGAAGAAGAAAAAATGTTGCAAGGAAAACGTAAACAAGTTGCACAAGTGTGACGTCATACAAACAACGATTCTGTCAAATTGACTGAGAGAGGAATAGCGGTACCGTTATTGGCGCAACCTCTATTTCTCTCAATCGTGCCCCGTATGTATATATTACCGTTTGTGAAGCAGGGTTCTTTCAAATAAAAGATACACTATTTCAACGATATACAAATCAAAGACCGCTGATTTTTATGCATTTTATTTTACAAGGCAGAAATATTTAGCATAATAAGATTTACTTCCGAAATATCTCGAAGCATTAATTACGAACACTTCTCAAAAAATCCAAAAGATCTTAAAGTAAAATACGAAGATTCTCGAAAACATCTAGATTGGTGCCAAAAATAATTTAACTCCAGGAAGCATTTCATCTTGTTATCAGTAGTCAGGCGTCTAAGTCATGAGGAAATCATATTATACAAGAGTGGGCATGGTTGAAACATTTTTATGTAAGCTATGCCTAGCTTCGCCCCTTATAGGGCCATGTCATTGTTGTTTAAGGATATTCAGTGCGAATTTAACTCTGTATGACACTTTTCGTTAAAGACGAAAACACCATTAAGTCTATCCTTTAGTACTAAAGATGTATTTCGTATAAACATTCGAAGCTGCAGATCCTTTGAGGCACGTCTTTCCCTTATCCGACTTTAAAATTTTTTCGCAAGGCACGTTTTTATGGCCAAAGGAACATTTCTAGGGGGAGTCTTGATTTGTAGCTTAACAAAAAATATTCTCCATACAAGTAAGGCGCAGTCTAATGCACATTCATGCATATTTACCAACGAACATTACGAACTTTTTCTTACACTAAGAGATTCCTTGCGATGATTCGTGTGAGGTATAAGTGCTTGATTGTATCAAATTTTTCGAATCGATAGAAAAGTATTTTGCCTGTTTATGCCCTGTGGGGAAAATCTCTAGTTCTGAATTGGTGCGCTTCTAGTACATTTAGGGCCAATTTCACACTGCGTAGTTAACTCGGAATCGGGCGTTAACTACAGATTTTTGTACTGAAAATCTCTAGTTAACTGTCGATTCGGACTTAACTACGCACTGTGAAATTGGCCCTTAGACTCAGTACTGGTTCGCGATAAATCTCTTTTGCATGCAAACAACTGCCGAATTTAACATGGCGATGTCCTATAGGAAGTGTCAATTGCCCCCCGCTGCATCCCTTTTTCGATAGTTCCGAACCAGTACTAAATTCGTCAATTTAGATATAGATTTCTAGTAAAAAAACTGAATACAATTAGTTTTTTAAAAGTACCACTTTCCGCCGATTTTGGACTGGTGGGGATCTAGCTCTTGACGGACTAGTTCCTNACTAAATTCGTCAATTTAGATATAGATTTCTAGTAAAAAAACTGAATACAATTAGTTTTTTAAAAGTACCACTTTCCGCCGATTTTGGACTGGTGGGGATCTAGCTCTTGACGGACTAGTTCCTTTTTGGCGATAAAGACCTAGTACGGAACTTGAAATTTGATTCACTAGTCCGTGGTTTGCCTGCAGGGTATATGTACTTATCCTCGCTTGGAGCGCAATACGTCGAACCCGCCAAATCCACGTATGAGGTAGCACAGAAAAAAAATTAATTTTTGTGTTAATGGTGAATAATTATAGTAGAAGCTAATCTTTGGAAAGTTCAGTTAGAAATCCATTTAAACAATTTGTAAAATTTCCGGACTGCCTTACACATACATATGTACATTGTACATACCACGTATTGCATTTGACGTGTACGAGGTATTCCGCGCAAAGCGATGATATGTATGTACATTAGGGTGGTCCAAAAATGCACGTCGAAAAGTTAAGTCGAAATTTTTATGATCTCACCACCTTGGATTGTTCAACGCCGAAAAAAATACACCTATTTTTTTATTTTGCAATCAAAAAATATTTGGAGGTCGCTCAATGCCATCAAAGTTTTCCATACATTTTAAACCTGGAACCCCGTTAGTCGATTCGACTAACAAAAATCGTATTTCGCTTTGTAGCTCTCTCTAAACACATTTAGCTTTTTGTTTATTACATGTAACAGAGAAAATAATTTGTACTTAACATTTTGTTAATGTGTTTTAAAAAATATAAAGAACAGGCAATGTTAAACTTCCTCTCACAAAAAAAAAATCGTCGTTCGTCCTATGACCAAATCAAGTAAGCTTTGACGATAACTTTATTCTCTGGATTACCTTTACATTTTTTAGGAATAAATAAATGACTAAAAACTTAAAAATCATTTTTCTTAAAATATTTATTTCTTTTTTAGTTATGACGTTCTTCCACCAAACGAGATATGTGTATATCGTAAGTTTTCATTTTGCAAACATGCGCGCACATATGTATGTACGTAGAAGATGGAATCGAAAGTACTTTACAGAACCCACTTCTATGTAAATGTGTGTACCGTTATGCAGATGAATGCATAGGACATTTTCCGCTATACGCAGGTATCTCGAATTTGTCAGAACTAATAGAATGTGTGTAATTTACAATTAAATTTTTCATTATTCAATATGTTTAAATTATGTAAATAAGACACTGCACAAGTGCAATGGGGTATAGCCGTTCTTCTGGGTATGCAGTTAGAGTTGGCTGACTATACTCAATACCGACCCTGCGTTCTCGTTCATGGACTCTAGGAAATGTGAGCAAGCCATGTGCGAGACACGGTAACCTATCCGAGAGGAGCCTTCGGTCACGGAAGAAAGAGAGGGAGCTTCGGTGGGGCACTCCGACTTATTCGGTTTAAGCGCTCACTGAAGTCTGCACCGTGTATTCGCCATGACGCGCGGCTGGAAGCGGGCGTCTGTATTGGAGCAAACAGCTCGCAAACGAAACAAGGACCATGGTTTACGGATACGCACCTGGAATGTCCGAACTCTCTATGGGGAAGGTGCTTCCATCCAACTGCTGGATGTCATAACAAAATATCAGGCTGACATCGCCGCAGTTCGGGAAATGCGATGAACGCGTTATGGCTGAACAAAATTTGCAGCATGCGATATTTACTACAGCTGCCATGAGATGGCGCACAAATTTGGTATTGCATTTGTGGTTGGG